TTGCAGTTTTGCATTGTAAAAAAAAAAAAACTCTTCAAAAACAGCAGTAAATACCTCCTGCCATGTCCATGTTTAATATCTCATCAAAGGCTGATTCTGGGCCCTTGTCTTTTTTCTTTTTCTTTTTTTGATCATCTGGTAGTTTCAGAAGAGAAAGTTCTTCTGATCGTCTAATGTCTGTGAACAAAGACGGAAAACATATGCAGTTTAGTAGAGAATCGACTAATGTGCAGAAAGAAATCATGGAAAATTGAATTGCATTTTTTCACATGTAAAAACAAATGATTTGTAATTGTAAAAAATTACCAAAAAATATTCAGCAATCCATAAATATTAAGACACACACATATTATTAAGTATTAAGTATTAAATTAATATGTGATAAGAAATTTATGTATAATGATAAATGTTTGCTTTTAATGACAGTGTCTATAGGAGCTGTTGTATCTAAATTGCACAAATTGACAAATCTGTATTACATTTACACATTTTATATAATATTTATTATATTTTCTTGTTAGCATTTTGTTTCATATGCTTCAAAAATATTATATTAATAAAAATGCATAATATAATAAATATTTTTGTTTGTACTGGTCCTTACTGAGTGCTTTGCAGATCTCCGCCACGGCTTTGAAGACCACACAAGAGAAGCTAACAGGGAGCCGGATGGTCTTCATGTTGGGCAGCTGGATGCAGAGAGGTTTGTGTTGTGGAGTGTAGCGCAGGTCAGCGTCCGCCTGGACTCCATACTTATCCAGAGTCCAGTGTGTCTTCAGCAGCCAGCAGCTCCTCTTCTCCCACCAGACGGCATGATCGGACCAGTCCTGAGGAGCCTCTGACACACAGACAACCACGTACTGTGAGAACTTGAGTCTGAGACGATAAACAAATATTGTATAGAGCTCCAAAAGTACAAAACGAAAAAAGGCAAAAACATAACAAAATTCTAAAAAAAAATAATAATAAATTACTAAAACTGAAAATATATATAAAAAGCTATTCCAAATATTATTAAATAACACACAAAAAAAAACCACCGTTCACTGCACTTTGCCCATGGCAGTGTAAAACTTCACCACTTTATAGATGAAGTTTATTATTACATTAAAGAGGTGAACAGGAACGTATTTATGCGAAGTGGTTTAATGTGTCGTTAAACAACAGCCATGACGTTACACCTGAATAA